CAGCCACTGACTCAAAAAGGTTGGAAACCCCTGCTGTAGAAGATCAATGCAGAGTATATTTCAGAACTCATCGAGATCACAAAGCATCGGTTCTGTGGTGTCTGTAGGATTTAGTACAGTAGTCCAGAAACCATTTGACAAGAAATGTTATCCAAGAGAGAATGAATGTAGTCAAGAACATAACTCCAAAATTCCCACTTTATTTTGAGAGAGGTGGTTAACCCTGTTAGTTTCAAGTTGGGTAGAAGATAGGATATGGTGGTACCTCTGAGGTGCTGTGCTACCTGCCTTCTGCCTGACTTTGTGTAAAGTAAAGGCATAAAATTATTTATTTTTGTTGCAAGAACACAGCAAGGCCAGTGCTATCTTCCTCATTCTGTTTTATATTTTTGGGGGTAACCTGGCATTTCAGTGGGAGGTTTTCAGCCTATTCCTCTGGTTCTGAATGTGTAACTCTTCTGGAAGAAACAGTTGTGGTAAATCTGTGCAGGCCCTGAAGTTCAGAATGATACCTCTTTTGAAGGTACCTACAGTATTTACTTGAATCTAAGACTACCCTGAATTAAAGATGACCCCCCCCCCAATAGTTAGATTCTATACATGGAAAATTTTATAAACTTGTTATAGTTTTCCATGTATAGAATGTAATTATTGGAGGATCATCTTTAATTTATCCTTCTCACTACTTCAGGGGTGTAGGCAGTGGGGAAGCAGATGATGAGGGATGGTCAAGCAGCTTGCCCCCTGCTTGTTCCTAGTGTCTTGCCACCTCTGCTTCCTGCCGGCCCCGCCTGCAGCTTTGGGTCCCTCTCACCCCCCAACCTCTGCTTCTTCTCTCTTCCTCCCCCCCCACTTACCTTTGGAGCCAGCAAGCTCCATCTGTGTTCTAGCCTTGGATACTGAGCACGGCAAGGTGATCTCACCTTGATGTCCAAGCAGTTATATCATTGACTTAGCATGGTTTGCTGGTATAGAAAACAATTTTTCCTCCTTTGCAGATGAGCAAAACAAAGTTAGCAATCCTCTTAAACCAGATCTCTTAGCATAATGCCACGTGGGGAGGCACAGAGTTGTGGGAGGAAAAGAAACATTGCTACATATTGACCCCGATAGAAATTTGAAGCCATGGTAGAAATATCAAGGGCCATGTACAAATCTTTTCCAGGGAAATCTAGTAATTCTGAAGTAATGCTAGTGGTTTTGGTATGATGCTGCTTTGCTGAAGTGACTTCAGTGTTCTGTTTTAGTAATGTTTAATCTTCATCTTTCCTATATTTTAAATAAATATAAGCATATAAGTGCTTTCCTTAAAATCAGAAAATAGATACTAGCTAAAATAATCAAGCTGTCCTCCCTACTGTGTCCTAACATGTTCACAGCTCTTCCCTTCCATTTTATCACCAGCAACGTTATTAATTTCAAACTCAGTTTACATGTTAATAGAAAATTTGACCTAATTGTATCTGAATTTAGGTAGAGAATGGTTAGTCAAACCTTGCCAGTTCCCATTAACATTAATGCAAGTTATGCAGGTGCATTTAAACTGCTGAAAGAATATGCCCGGCAGCGTGTAATTGTATGTTCTTCTTTGGACCCTGGTGCCAAGAAACAAGGTAGCTGTTAAGTAACATTTAATTCACTATTTCTCCAGGTGAGATGTCTTGGCACTGTCTACATTAAGTGATATTACACTATGATATTACACTATTCTAAATTTTTTGTATTATCTATCTTTCCCTTTTGAAAACTTTTAGCCAAATTATATTGTGGTTTACCACCATGAAAGTATATCTTGAGTTACGTATTTGAAAATATTACCAAGCTATACGCTTTAGATGAAGGGTTAGTTTCCCTGCATTTCCTAAGATCTTTTTGTTCTAGAATAGTAGAGCAGAATTACCTTGGGTTTTGTTCTGGCTTAAAGTGCTTTTTCCCCATAAGCTAGAATAGATACTTGGTGGCAGGGGGAAGGTGTCAATGTCTGGCCTTATAGACTGAATACCTTTTCATCCTTGGAGTTTCCTCTTCCTGGGTTGGGATCTGTGGTCCCACCTGTCCAAGGGAATCTGGATCTACTACTGCCCGTCCAGTTCCTGTTTTGTGTAGATCAGGGTTTCTCAACCAGTGGGACATATCCCACTGGTAGGACACGAAGGTCCTTTAGGGGGGATTCAAGGTCGCCGAAGCTGAAAGTGCCACGGCAGGTTTCACTTTTGCGTGTTTTGATCAGCCACGGGGGGAGCCCCCCCGCCCCCGACTTGTTAACCAGTGGACCAGGATTTTTTGACCGTATGTAGGGGGGACATAAGGTACAAAAGGTTGAGAGTCGCTGGTGTAGATAAACATGTATCAGTTATCAATCATGCACCAACCAATGTTTGATCTTGCAGCACTATTTGCATTTAGTTGGATTATTTAACAAAGCTCACAAAATTTCTAAAACATCTAGACATCCTGTTCCTGTCCCTTTTAGGAGAGGCCACTTCATTTTTTCTTACAGAATAGACCTTTGGTTAGGGGACTTAAAAAGAAGTCGGTAAGCCTGCCTGCTCTTCCTAGCTCTGCCATTGATGTTCTGTATAACCCCAAGCAAATCAATTAATTTTTCTATTCCTTAGCTTTTCTGTTGATGCAAGAAGGTAATGATGCCTTTTTAAAGCACTTGAGCACTGAATGAAAAGCACCTACATAAATGTCAAATGCTGTTATTATTTACCTCCTTCAGTTTACTAAATGCAAAAGAAATAGCTGATCTAACATACCTGAAACTTTCACTTGTTAATAGAGCTCTAGTTGTTTGATTATGAAATAAACTGCTGTTTGCCAAACTATCTTGGCCTGGTACCAGTCTGCCTATAAATCATTGCTTATGTCTCCCTTATTTGTTCTAATTACATTAAGGACATATTGAAAACTCTGAAAAACCTAACGAGTACATTTTAAATATGCATATTAAAGTTGACATTTAAATTTCATTTTTATTATTTCTGTGTCTTCATATATCAGTGGTTATTTTTAGCTGGGAATTTTCTTTCACCCAATCCCTAGCAAAGAAAACTTAAATTTTGGGATTACAAAACCCTCTCATTTTCCAATTTATATTATCAGGTTGCCTTATCCAAGTAGAGTTTGTCTTAAAGTGTTCATCTTGTAGGCTCTCTTTCTTAGTGATCCTCAGTGAGCTTTAGTAGTCATGGGAGAAGGGAAGCTGATTCTCATTTCCTGTTGTAACTCAGGAACAACTTCATTGCATTGAATCCAGCAACACAGGCTGCTTGCAGACATTTAACCCCCCCCCCCCCCCCCC